CTGGATTCTCATTCTTGCCTGCACTAACAGGACTGCAGAGCTGCCCTCTCTGCCCTCTATCAAAAGCCTCTTTTAAAAACCTTCCTGAGAGTAAATGATGAATACTTTACTTCAGTGTAAAAAGTAAGAACTAAATCATAAAACTTCTAACCTCTACGAAGGTTAAACTGACCAGCAATCTGTTAAATAAACTACTCTGCAGTGTGGAGCTTCCCTTCATTTTCCTTTTCTTTGCTCCTTCCAGTGACATCTGATTTACCCACCGAGCTCTGCCAATACAGGACATGGACTCTGTACAAAAAAAACCAGATTTTAAGCCTGGTTCCCACAGAGCCATGGATACCCCTCACCTTAGGAACAGGCATATCCTTGTTTCATGGGATACAGGTGGATCTGATCATCCAAACACAGGATTTCCAGCACCAAGTGCAACATCCATATCAAAGAGTGGACCTACAACATAAAAGCTGTTTTTAACTATTCTGACATGCAGACTTACTGTTATTCCTAGTGGTGTTACCTAATTTTAAATGCTGTGTATGACATAATTCAGTATTTCCTTCTATATATTTCAGTATATTTATAGTTCTGTATCTCCAGGGACACATATGTTACTATTTGTTAGTAATCCATTGACCATCATTAATTCCAAAAGTGCCACTAGCCTTTGTAACAAATTCACTCAAGGACCCATGGAAATAAACACTGAGACTCTACATTCAGCATCTGCTCTAAGGTCTTTGAAAGGTCAACACAAAATAAATTGCATAATTAGCTATAAATTTCATTAAGGAGTCAGTGAATAAGAGGGGAAAGAACATGGAGATGAAATTTTCCATTCTACATCCTTATAAACTGGCATCAGGAAGATTGAATGTATTTAGGGGAAATATTGGATTTTCAATAACAATTTTGGACCAAATTATTTCCTAGCATATATACAGATATATATATATATATACACATACAGCAGGCACTGACTGAATAACTCACCATCTTCCTCAAAGGTCTGCAAGCAGGTGAATAAATAAGAAACTAAATCTGGCCCCAGAGCCCAAGAGCAACTTTTGTTCAAGAGAATAAGACAGTTGGCAGGCTAAAAATCAGAAAAATAGCCTCTGAGAATTTGGGCATGACATAAAATTCCTACAGAATCCTTTCCTGCCATGGCAGTTATAGAAAGAGGGACTCTTCATTCCATATCTCATTCCTTTACATGACAGGTAGAAGAACAGACTTTTGCCTTTGGGTCTTCAGGCTGCTGTGAAATATTTGTTACTGATATGCTTCACCTGTATTAATAATTTAAAATGATTTTTCCTCTTGACAGATTTTAGGCTAAATAAAAAACCACTTGATTTAAAACTCCAGAAAATATTATTCAAAACAAGTTTACCTGTCCTATAAATTCCAGCTGAAAAATGTTCTATGGTAAATGTTTATATTTAAAATTCCACCTTTTTCATTAAAATAGCTTTCAACATGGAGGAAATTCCTTTGTTAGCAATTCTACAATAAGTCCAAACTAAAAATATTTTAAACCTGACAAACATCTGTTTGTTTGGGTTTTTTCAGAAAATTTGAAGACTTTTGCTTCAAAGGACTCTTTTTATTACATTTCAGAACCCAGGGAGCTGTGAAAGCACGAGATGCTTCCTATCAAACTCCAGAGCCTCTTTTCCTGACCTCTTTTGCCCTCAGCAGCAGGCACAGTTTTACTCAGCTGGCACCAGCAGCAGTGCTGGAGACTCCAGCAAGGAATTCCCTGAGCCCAGGGCCTGGTGTTTTGAGCTTTCCCAGCAGTGCCAGAGCACTGGGAATGCCCAGCACGGGACAGGATGAGCCAGCCCGAGGTGACACGAGGGCAGAAAGCTCTGCAGACTCTACAGCAGTGATGAAATCTCACTGCTCCCAGATTGTCCATGGAGAAAGGACTTTCCTGTTCCCACAATCGATTTTGCTCATCCTGAGGTATTTTATCTACAACTAATTGTATAATCCAACTGACATTTATTTCATTACCACCTTTTCCAAGAAGCAATACATGGTGAACAGTATCCCCCAAACGACTCACTATGAATACATAAAAATTCTCTGTCAAAAGTGATCTCATTATAGCAAGAAAATGTATTTTGCCTTACAAAATTTGCTACCAGACTGCAGCTTCCACTCAGCTCCAAGGATCCCAAAACAAACCCCAGGAGATGGGAAGCTGAGCTGAGGTCTGTCACTGCACTGATGGCAGCTTTATAATGAAGTCCCTGGACTGAAGAAAATATAAAATCATCCAAGAATATAATTATCTGTCTTCACCAAGGGTTCCTCACTGGTTTTTCTACTTATCAGTAAATTGGGCAACAGCCACTGTGGACAGCAACTCTGTGCAGCTCCACCCACAAGGAATACCATTCCAAACTTTACCTAAATGTGCTTGGGCTCCCAGTCAGTCACACTCCCCATTTCTGTAGATTGGAAAAAAATGAGAAGCTAGCAGAATTCAGACTGGAACCACTCTGGTTCACACAGGCACTGCCTTGGTCTCCCCTGCTCTGTGATGCCCCAAGGACAAACTAACCCAAAGTTAATAGATAAGAGCAGCAGGAATACTGAATAGCTTTTATCTTTGTTCCAGCTCTCTCCCAAATACCATCCATAAGCAAACTCTTGTGTGTTAAATCATTTATTTGTGGTGAATTTTCTTTAATACAAATCCATTTTAACAGGACAGAAAAGCAGATGCTACAAGAACAACCAAGGATGTAAACTACTCACAGTATCACCATGACACAACACAGCACTGCTGCCCTGGGTGTGCAAATACGAGTCTGGCCCAAATCCCACTCCACAGCCAGGTTCCACTCAGCTGCACAGCTGAAGGGGCGAAACAGGAAAGTCTAAAAGCTGAAAAACACACAGGAAAAAGGGTAAAAAACTAGCCCATCTCCACATGCATGCAGTGCATCTTTGGAAATCAGTGTGGTGAGCAAAGCCCACACCATCCCAGCCCATTGCAGCTGGGCACAGCGAGTACTGAACCCAGAGGTTCCTGTGACCTGTGGGGATGCTCCTGCAGGCTCTGATGGGAACTCTGTTGTCTGACCCAGAAACAAATGTCCTCTGCCTCAGAAGCAGCTGCAACTCCTACTGCAGCAAAAGGACAAGACTCTCACAGAAAGGGCTCTAAAACCAAGCTGAGAGAGAGATTTCTTCAGAACTGCAAACACTGAGCAATTTCCCTGCATCCAAAGTCAGTTACTAAGGCACTTTCCATGATTTGTGAGCTTATTTAATTGTCTGAGCATGGATATTTCAGTCAAATTTAAGATCCCAAGTCTATCAGGACTAAACTTTATACTGATACTGTGAGTAAATGTGAGGTGCCATTGAACAAAGATGACCTCACCAAAATTTGCAGAAGTACTAAACATAAGGAATTCCTGAACTTTAAAGTAGAGAAATTATTTTGATATCCTCAAGTGCAGCGTTACACATGTATATGATTCTTTACAGGCAGAATGAGGCCAAGGGACACATATCCAAAACCCAACACACAGAAAATCAGATTTTCTGATGCATGTACAGATTCACACCTTCACGGCATAACCAAACAACAAAGACCCCTAAAAGGAAGCCTTTAATGGAATAAAAATTATTGAAATTATAAACAAGGAGTCTTTCAAGGAGTCAAACATTCTGAGGGGTTGAAGAAATTTATTACAAGGTAACTTCTGTAATAGCACTCTAAGGGATTTTAGGGTACAATGGTACTAAAGTTTTGGCAACAAAAGGTTTCTCTAAGCCATAAAGAAACACACCTGTAAATTCCCATAAACCTTCATTTCAATTGCCTTAGACTCCCTTAATACTCACTGGATTTAAAAAGAAAATAAAATTAAAAAATAAAGGTGATCAGTGACAGCAGGAAACTTTTTATCAGGGAGTTTGCATGTTTTACATTGACCCCAAACTTCATTACAGCCCTGTATCCATCACTAAGTTTAGCACTTGGTTTAGCACTCACTTGCTAAACCAAGGAGAAGCTGAACAGCCTAAAATCTGATGGCAAAGCTGTTCTGATTGCAAGAACTTGCAGGGAAGTGAAGAAGGCTGCCCGCACACCCCTGCAGCTCCAGCTCCACGTCCCTACAAACAGCATCAGTGGGACCACGCTGCAGAGCTGAGAGTGTGTGGGTGACAGAAACTGCCAGTGGAACTTGGATCACAGAAAACCCCTAACTGCTGACAGGACATTCAGAAAAGGGGCCTCATTTCATTCATTCTTTACCTATAAAGCGAATGATGCTTTTCTGAGAGGTAAACAAGCAGTTACGAAAGCTCATACCGTTCAGTGCCTGCTGCAGCCCTGTCCCTCTGTATCCAGCACAAGGGCACTGATCAAGCACAGTGAGAAACATCCCCAGGATCCCTGGTAACAAGTAGCTCCTACCACAGTAAAGTGGGTTTAGCTCTCCCTTGGACTACGTGACTACATCCTCCTCCTAGCCCCCATCCAGCCCCACGGAATTCTATCCTCCGCACTGCCGGATAATCCCGTCCATCCCCGTGCGTTTACTCCAGGCAGTCCCTCCCTTTCAGCCGAAGTGCTGGGCTGGACTCGGCTTTCCGGAGCCGCTGTCCGCCTACAGCTCCTCATGCAGGCAGCGCATCCCCGCAGCAGCCCCGGTAACGCGGCTCGCCGGGCGCTGCCGCAGGAGGGATGAGCGGCGGGGTCAGCCCCGGCGTGTGCGGCCCCGGGCCCCCCCGCGCTGCCCCCGGCATGTGCGGCCCTGCCCGCAGGGCGGGGGTCACCCGCCCCCCTGCCCCCAGCCCGGGGCCGCCGGCTCCGGCCCGGCCCCGCTCCGGCCCCGCGCACGGCAGGAGGCGGCG